TTTGAATTCATATAATTATGTTTTTTTTTTTTATAAAAAAATTAAAAACACTAGTTTTCATGGGGTGTACTAAGTTTTGTACAGCACTAAAAGTTATCGTTCTTGCAATTAAAAAAAAAGCTTGGAAAAAATCTACTAGAAAGGGTTAAAAAAGTAAACTGTTGTAAATAAAAGTGGTAAATTGTTAAAGATTGAAGAAAATTTAACATTTAATGTAAAATTAAAAATATATAAAAAGGTAATATAAGAATATACTGCTAAAAGAAATCATTTCAATGGTGCAGCCAATGAAACACTAGCAGAGCAAACACAAATCTGAGCGACTGATGAGCAGGGGGGAAAAATCCTTACAGTTTAAATGTGTGAGTGTTTGCCAACACATCTGAGAGCTACACTTTGTGTACGTGTGTCTGGAGGTATTGAGATCCATGTGTGTAATAGAGCCCCATGTTTGGCGAGTACACGGTTGGAGCTTGTGTGTCACTAGTTACTGAGCTTCTTTTCTCCTGCTGAATCAAGCACTCCGACAGCTCACCTGTACAACATCAAACACAAACATGGTGGCGGACACACACATCAAACACACTTCCTCCACATCTCCTATTTGTCGGAGAGTTGCGGAATGTGTTCTGTGGGTGACGGCGGTACAGGCAGACAGAAGCAGGAGGAAGAGCAGGGGATGTCCTCCTTGAAGAGAAGGGAATGAGAAAACGGACACACCTGAACAAACAGAGCCGTTTACCTCATGCTGAAGGCTTGTGTGTGACTGCATCAAACCTGCCTGTGAAAACACACCACATCGGTGTCATGACACACGCCCGTGGACCCGGTTCAAACACACTCACAACCGTGCTAAAGTGGAAATGTAGTCAGAGTGTCAGCATCTCCAAGTAACAGGAAAGAATTTCCATCATGTTAAAAAGATGTGAACACCACAGAGGAGGTTCAGCTGACAGTCAGACGATCCATGCGGCAAACTCACGGTTAGCTCATCTCAAACAGGACAGTCCTATGGAAACCGACCACTACATTACTGACCATTCAGATCTAACTGACTAAAGTGAGGCTCAATGAAAAGTCTGATGGATCAGAGTCTGAGGAACTCTGAGTTCACTTTGGTTCTGAGCTTTCATCGCAGAAGCTCTGGATCTGATATGGAAATTTTCCAGAACAACATGGCAATTCCCATTAGAGTGCTGCAGGACTAAGTCCGAAAACCTGGAAACTAATTACCATTTTTGAACTTCCCTTTCCATTTTCCTGAAGTCAATGGGTTTTTTGAACGGGTTCTTGGTAAAATGCCTGAAATAAACACTGTTGTTAACACAAGCACAAGATATTATCACAACATAAAATACATTAGTAATACCCCACTCATGACTTTTTTAAGCTTTTACATATATTTAAAAGGCAGTTGCTTCATGGCTAAATGAGACTTCAGAGGTTGTCAGTGAGAGTAAACTTCACACAGAGCAGGAAAACTTATCTACTCAATATAGTCCGCTTTTGGACCAATGTTGTGTTTATACTCGACAAACAACATTTATGCACACCTGTATATTTAATAAATAAATAAAACGTTGTTGGAAGCTTAGGGGTGACTGTTGATGAAGTTACTTCTGGTGATAGTATTTAAGCTTCAAAATAAAATATTTGTGTGAAAATTGGAATAAGTCGGTGGTTGCCAGGGTGCTACTATGTGTTTTGTTTTCTAGTGGCTCCCTGATGCTCGAAAATTATATGCCATATATGTTTGCGGGAGCGGTCGGGACTGGACACAAAAATCTCAGGAGCGGGCGTTAATGGTCAGAAATTCAGCGGGAGCGGGATTAAGAAAACTGATTTCGAAATACTTCCACACAAATGACATGTTCGCGAATGATTCCAGTGTAGTCTCTGTGCACTGGGGCGCACTTCCGGAAAAATCGGCCGAAAAAAGACAAAAGGTTCCGATTTATGGCCGGTCAACCGGTGCATTCCTAATTCTGAATGGAAACGTATTTATTTCTATATAATCAGGTTAAGG